CATTTTAACTGCAGGCTGTCTTTTAATATACCCTCTCATTGATATGACTTAGATCGGCATATCAAAATAAATGATCATTCCTGCTAAATCTCGTTTTTTTTTTCAATCTTATTCAATATTCACTTAATGTCCTCTAAACAAATATATACTGTTTCTCCCTATTTCTCACGACACTGCGAGTGCACTGCGCAGAGGATACTGTCAGAATTTTGCTATATTCCTGAGTTAAACGTTTGTTCACCGGAAACGTCTAATCGCATGCTTAAAACTTAGTCCAATGTAACTTTTAATAAATCTATACAGACTAAGAAGAACTCTATCAAAGTGTAAGCAGGAAATCCGCATGATATTGTCGGCTTATGCACTGAGGTTGATGAAGGGTTTGTGGCATTGGAATAAACATGGAGGATAAAGCAGCTGTGGGCGGGACAAAAAAGCGTGCTTGGATCAAAGCTTTTTCCCGCTGTCAGAACGGATGCCAGGGTGACGTATATGTGTATTTTTTATACATATATTAACATATATATATATATATATATATATATATATATATATATATATATATATATATGTGCGTGTGTGTGTGTGTGTATGTGCATGTGCACACACACACACACACACACACACACACACACACACACACACACACACACACACATATATATATATAAAATATGTATATATATGTATATACATATATATATATATATATATATATATATATATATATATATATATATATATATATATATTCGGCTTCTCTCCTCAGGGGTCGCCACTGTGAAATGGTCCGCCTCATAGTCTTGGTTTGTTTTTACAACCGGATGCCCTTCCTGCCACCAACCCTCCCCGTTCATCCGGGCTTGGGACTGGCATGGGATATTCCATTGGGTTGAGGATTCCCAAGTCTGTCTGCAATCAAGTTTGCATGTTTGCCCAACAACGCGCCGCCTGGTGACTCAAACTCTCGAACTCATGACAGTCTGATGCTCTTGGCCACCGCGGCCTCAACGTACACATGTATGTATATGTATATGTATATATATATACATGTATGTCTCTCTCTCTCACTCTCTCTCTATATATGTATGTATACACACACACACACACACACACACACACACACACACACACACACACACATATATATATATATATATATATATATATATATATATATATATATATATATTCATTCATTTCGAGTACCATGCCAGCTGCTGACGTTGGCGATCATGATTTTGAAACTAGTTCGGTCTTGAGCGATCTGAAGAAGCTCTCCCTTCCGGACGCTGCCTGCTGCCAGAGCCAAATCATCCAAATACATTTTTCTCTGTCGACCTCTTGCTCTTAATCCATCAATTTTGCCTTCAAGTACTAACTTTTCGAGGCCATCTTCTTCATCAATGTGACCGAGAATTGTAAGTTGTCCTTGAGTTATTTTTTTTTAATCATTTGCCTTTGTTCTTTATTTTTTCTAAAACATCTTCATGTTTGACCAAGGGTATCTTCATCATTCTGCGATAGCACCACATTTCCATTGATTCCAATTTCTTTTTCATATCCTTACTGATGGTCCATGTTTCACTTCCATATAATAAAACTGACCAAACATAGCATCTCAGAAAGAGTTTCTTTGTTTCGATTGATATGTTTCTATTAGTTAATATGCTCTTCTTTTCTATAAATTTTGTCTTTGCAATTGCTATTCTACGTCTAGTAAGAGTGCTCCCTAGATGCTCGAATTCATTCACTTGATCTATTGCTTTATCATCTAACTGGAGATTGCACCTAGGAATTGTCTTGTTCTTGCTAAATACCATCACTTTTGTTTTGTTTTTGTTTATATTTAGACCTCCTCTTTCACTTTCTGCTTTCAGATTTTTTAACATTTGTTGAAGATCTTCGTTGTTCGATATTGACGTCGTCAGCATATCTGATATCAAATAGCGACTGAGCATTCACTTTGAATTTCGCTATGTTGCTCATTTTTCTCACAATTAGCTCAGCATATAAGGAGAATAAATCTGGAGACAAGACATCCTTGACGGACTCGTCGCTTGATATTAATCCAATCGCTGAGTTCACCATCTAATGAAATGGTTGCAACCTGTTCCCAGTATAGCTTTTTTAGCAATCTTAGATCTTTACCATCTAAATCTATTTGTTGCAGTTCGTTTCATGATTTCTTGATGTTTTACCTTCTCAAATGCTTTTTCATAATACCACATACAAGTTCTTTTGCATTTCTATTGCTCTTTCAGCTAGTATTCTCATGACAAATGTTGCGTTTCGCCTTTCCCTTGTTCTTCTTGAATCCAAACTGACTCAAGGGACTTCTGATCGAATCTTTTTCTTAAGTCTATTCATAATTATTTATTTTGATAATGTAACTCATGAGCTTTATGAGTCTGTAATTGTTGCAATTTGTTGCAGTTGGTATAGTTATAAAAACAGACTCCTTCATTTGTCTGGGTATGACTCCACTGTGATATATTTT